GCCCTGTCCGTAGCCGGCCGCCCCGTCTAACATGATCTGCATGGCCATGACAAACAGTATTGGTGAGATCGTACACCCCATAGCTATCCCAATCTGCAACTCAGTCCATCTCGTGGTAAACGTCGAGGTAGAGAAGCGCAAAGCGAACTTAAAGAAATATTGCTCGATCATATCATTGACATGTGCCTGTACGTGGAACATGCGAAGGGCTCGCCACAGTAGCCTATGGGGGACTGCCCCGTTGGCGTTGGCTAAGTCCAACCAAATCACGTGCAATTGAGTTCTCTCATGCTTGGAATAGCCTCCCAAATCATGGTCGCGTGTTCAAGGCACACAGGAACGCCCGGAATACCACCCTTCTGAACACTCGTATCTATATACTTGTTAGCCATCAGATACTGTGTGAGCCGGCGAGCCATGACCGAGAAGAATATCTTACCCTTGACATTCAACAGCGAGATGGGCCTGAATTGGGAAAGACTCTTCGAATCCTGCTCTTTGGGAATGTAGACCCCATTCGCCTTTTGCCATTCTGGACATATGTGTTTGCGTCTCAACAAGACGTGAAGCATTTTTAGGATTTTTGGGCAACGCTTGTAAAGAACGTACGGAACATCATTCGGACCTGGGGCAGACTTGCCGCTGGCCTTTTTGACAACTTCCTCAACCTCAGACCAATGGGGAGGTATCATTTTAAATGGTACCTTCGGCAACACAGGCTGCTTGAGGCCGCTAAGGATCTCTGGATTTTCATCGAGAGGCTCTCTCCTCTTTTTGTCAGAGTACATCTTGCGTAGATGTGACTCAAGCTCTACCTGACTGACAACCAGAGTCCCAGACTTCGGTTGCTCGAATACACCTCGGGCAAACTGATACGGGTCCCTAAAGAATTTCTCTCGCTCCGTTTTGGTTCTTCGTCTGTTGGCACAGAAACGCTCAGCGCGACAGAGGGCACTGTGTTTGTTCTTTAAATGCAACCAAACTTCATACAGCCCCTCTTGTTCGCTGCCTGTAGCGGCTTTGAACCGTTTTCTGAGGGCATTTTTGTCTGCCCGACACTTCAGAATGTCCCTCTGCCTCCTGCTAGTATTCTGCTTGGCACCGGGGTGTGCCTTTTCTACTGTCCCGAACTCACGGGAGCAGTGTTCATATATTACATCACCGAATTTTGTAAGCTTGTCGCTTAACGACTTCTTGTTTAAATCATGTTTAAGTATCTCACACAATGTACTCTCCAACTTACACCACACCACCTTATCGCTCGCAGGTGGAAACCTAATCTTGGAACGCACTTCCTCAGAAATCATCAAATGTACTCCTCTGCAGTCGACGTCATGGGCCTCTCCGGGCGAGTGGGGTTCACCCTGCTCGTCGTTCCCTAACGACTCGGAAACTACCACAGGAGTAGTAGTTTTGCGGCGGCGTTTACAGCGTGGAGCACCCTCGCATTTCATTCTTCCGGCATGCTTTATCAGACCATGCAACCCGGTGAAGCTCTTTCCACATGTACAGAGCCAGCCCGGAAGTTGGGCGAGTATCTGAGTCTGGGGGCTAGCATTGTCATCACCGAGAGTATCAATTTGATTGGGCCCTTCATTATCCCCCCCCCCCTTTTTCAGAGGGCCCTGGTGGCATATTTCTATATTGGTTAACGCAATCGGAGGTCCACAGTCGACAACTGTCTCCATGCGGCTATAATTAATGCTGAACTCAATAGACTTCACAAAGAAATTGCAGGTTAACTGGCAAGATATCGGCGTCCGTGCCTTAGGCGTTGCGAGTCCGACTCGTAATCCAGCGTACGATAGAAACCCACTGCTGGCTGCGAGGAGATTTGACTTCGTATAGGGCGTCGCAGATCGACAAAGCCTAAAATAGGTACCATGATGGAGAAGTAAAGACGACCACATTACCCATCTACTGCCGATTGGTCTGTAAAAATATGGGCGCTCCTATTATTTTCACAATGCACACAAATGTGTGAAAAGGGATCTTTACTTTTTTTTTTTTTAACCGGTAACAAGCCTCCCAGAAGATGGGCCCAATAGAGAAAATAATTATGATTTTCATCACAACTCCCCCAGGGTGCTGATTGGTCTATAAATTCCTAGCACTATATTAAGACTGAATTAGTTATAGAGGTTCCTCTATTGTTTTTGTTTTGTTGTCTAAAGACAGAGGTAGGGAAGAAATCTAGAAGAATGGAGTGGAATTTGAAATCAACAATTAATTATTGGTATCAGTTAGGAGTCCAGCTGGAAGAAATGACAGAATATTACCTCTTGTTGAGGTGGCGGTAGCTTCACCGGTCATTTTGTAGGGAATATAGACCGTATGCCGAAGGGGCGGCAGCTTCGTCAGTCAATTTTGTGGGGCAGTGAAATATAACAAGGCGAGGTAAGAACCCTACAGTACACTTAGGGAATTGGCTAAACATACAGCAATAAAAAAAAAAAGTCAAGTATAGAAATGGAGAATAATATTTTCTGTCACTTTCCAGGGCAGTCTGTAACCCAGAGTCACGACCCTGAACTACCTCATCAGTCCAAAGTGTGAACAAGCGTCCACTATGGGAGAAACTGTTCCATGATGCTTCTACAACTCCATGAAAGGCTATGACTTGTGGGGGCCAGCTCCCAAACCCTCTTTACAATTATTTGCTACATACACTTCTGAAAAGAGATCAAGAAAAAGATATAAAACTGCAATGAAACGTATAGCAAACTTCACAATATAATGAACACAAACATGTAAATTGCAGCTATGGAGCCTTCATCAGCACATACATAAAAAAAAAAATATCATTCAAATAAACAAAATAAAATCATTTAGCTTAATGATGAACAGAGAATCACTAAACATGAACTGAAATGGGAAATTAATAGACTGAGCAAACGAGAGCGTCCAATAGAATCTTAAAGAATGAAGGCTCCAAAAATTTCAAATTTTGCACCTATGCTGTAAATAGAAAAGAAAAAAAAATGGTCCACACCTAAAACTACTTTTAAATACACATTTACGTATTTCAAATGTGAAAAATGTGCAGTTTAGCACTGTATGTCTTATTGTTCAGTTGTATTCAGTTATTTCAATCATTTCACGTCGATATAATATTTACTCATCCACTGCCCAAAAAAGAATTTTAAATGTGATGATGTATTTGGATCCCATTCTAAAGTATACGAAAATATTAACACTAGAGTTTATATTCTCTAACACATACGCACATGACCATATACGCACTGGTATATATCAAAATCCCCCCCCCCTTCCCCCAATCCCCCATTAAATACCGGGAGGCAGATCGTTATTAGACAATCAAAATAACTGCAATCATGGTCACCATAACAACCGTCTTTCCTTCCCTTTTCGACAATATTTCGGTTTTCTTCTGCTCTTCATTTGCAAATTTACACCAGTTCGACTTCTTTTTTTTTTTAAACTGCCATTGTAAAATTAGCGTTAATAAGACAACGGTCGCAACGGAGAAAACTCCAAAGAAAGCGTTTGCAATGTAAAAACGGGCAATGATTTGCTCATTAGCAATGACAATTAAATTAAGCAGAGTTTGGCTTCTGTCAGGAACGAACTTTCAGCCGATGTAACATAATGTATACGCTGGCATCCAGCACACAAAAAAACCGACAACGGATATAAATATAATAATGGCTAAAGTGCGCTTGTCCGTAAATATTTTACTAATTTCAAATGGGAACACAACGCATAGGCGTCTGTCTACTGTGATACACAATGTGATTGCACAGGTGAGCTTTTTAAACAACTCGTGAGGCCAAGCTGCCGTTGCAAGTTGAAAAACAGTTAACACAATAAACAGATTTAAGTATTTACAAAACTCAATTACAATATGCCACTGATGTAATATTACTGTTCGTGTTCAAGCCGTGTCTGTAAAACACAACCAGGTTGATTATATGAGTCACAGTATCAAGGACACTGATCTCAACCGCTCAAAAAGATGAGGTAAAAAAAGTTACTATTTGTAAATGTATCTCAGGAAAGTGCATTGTTCAGAGAACACTCGGAAATCCATTGCTTGTCCTAGAATTGTTGCCAGCATCCTTGAAGAGCCCCATTCTTGAAGTGAGTATAGTCTTTATACATTTAACTGAAGATCAACGCATGCGATGGGTTGGTCATCTGGCGAGATTACTCAACAGTTAGTTGACATGAAGCCCGTTGTATTTAGGTGTAATAAAACCTTACCTTGTTTAAAAAAAAAAAAAAAAAAAAGTAGTTTAACAATCTAAACTGTGTTTCTTTGCGTTGCTGCCAATTACAATAAAGAAATTTAAATGGATCCATGTCTGGAGAAAAGGCTGCTTTGGAAAGTGGTCAGAGAAAATCGCAGACACTCAACACCCAGAATCAAATAAAATGTTCACTAAATATTTTGATTTTGAAACGCCCAGACATAAGCCTCTCTAAGGCGCTAAAATATGAACAGCAAACAAGGACGAATATCGTTGAACTGATTCTCTTGTCTGTTGTGCCATGTGAACAGAGTATAAGAAACAAACAGAGAACAACTGTCATCTGCAACAAAAGACATAGCAATCCTATAAAACCATACAGTGGAGTGGGGCATATACGCAACATATGGCAATTTCCCCAATACAAATTCTTTGGAGTGATGCATCCGAATGAAACCTGCGATCTGCAGTAAAGAGTCAACTGTTGGGATCCGTTGAGAGTCCACATGGAATAAATGGCACAATTTGAAGAATTTCAGAATTTTCAACTGATGGTTTGTTGAAAAAAATTTTTCCAACAGAATCTTAGAGAGGGAATGCTCCAGAAATCGCAAACCTTTGAACAGGCACATGCAGCTGCCACTGGGGAACAAATAAAAATGTCCCACATATAATTTGTTTTTTTCCAAATATATATGTATTTCAAACATGGTAAACAAGTGAAAACGTGATTACAGCCCACTATGCTTAAACGTTAAGTTGTCAATCAATTCACTCAAAAGGTATTATCTAATCTTCATTGCGAAAAAGTCTTTTAAATGTGCTTCTGTATTTAGAGCCCATTTTAAAGTATAAGAAAATATTCCCACTGGAGTTTATATTCTCCAAAACATAAGCGAATGACCATACAAACTGGTATATTTCGAAATATTTTCCCCCAACATTAAATCCTGGGACGCAAAACGTTATTAGACTCAAAGTTACCGATGGCGTGTAGCAGACAACCAAAATAACAGCAATCAAGATCACCATAACTACCGTCTTTCTTTCCCTTTTCGACAGCATTTCGGCTTTCTTCTGCTCTGCATTTGCAGAATTACGCCAGTCTGACTTTATTCTCAACTGCCATTTTAAAATTAACGTAACTAAAACAATACACGTAATGACGAAAACTCCAGAGAAAGCATTTGCAATGTAAAAAATTGCAATGGTTTGCTCGGTAGCAACAAAAATTAAACCAAGCAGAGTTTGGTTTCGTTCAGGAAAGAACTTCCAGCCGATGTAACATGATGTGTAAGCAGGTATCCAGCTCGCAAAATGCACACCGTAAATACATATAATAACTACTAAAGTGCGCTTGACTGTAAATATTTTGCTAATTGCAAATGGTAACATAACACATAGGCATCTCTCTACTGTAATGTATAAGGTGATTGCACAAGTGAGTCTTGTAAGCAACTCATGAGGCCAAGCTGCCGTTGCATGCTGAAAATCAGTGAAAACTATAGGCAGATTTGTGTATTTAAAAAATTCAATTACAATATGCCACTGCTGTAATATTAAACACGACAGATCAGATAGAGTTAAAGCGAAAAAACTAATATTAATGTTCGTGTTCAAACCTTGTCTGTAAAACACAATCAGGTTTATTACATTAGCCACAGTTCCAAGGACACTAATCAAACCGCTAAGAACGATGAGGTTGAAAAAGGACACTATCTGTAAATGTATCTCAGGAACATGTATTGTCCACAGAACACTCAAAAATCCATTGCTTGTCTCAGAATTGTTGTCAGCGTCTTTGAAGAGCTTCATTCTTGAAGTAAGCATAGAGATTTAATAGATTAGCTTGGTGACTAGTCTTTATACAGTAAATTGAATATCAACACGTGCTCCTGTTTGGTCCTCTGACCAGATTATTCTACAATGAATAGACCAAAAAGCTGTTTCATTTAAGTGTAATTCCGATTCCGATTCCTTTTGAGAAAAAAAATTTAAAAGTTCGACCACTTTCAGACTGCTGCTAGCTAGCCGAGGCTGCTAACAGTCTTCGCCTATATTTGTGGTCTGGGTTATTTGCGTCCCTTTCGTGACTAAATTCTAGTATTTGCGCCGTTTCTGGGCTTAATGCTTCCTTTCGAGTCATACCGCACGTCCTCTACCCTGTTGTTAGCTGTGTATTTCAGTCCTTCTCTTCTTGGTGTTTCCTCTTTGTGTAATTTCCCTCTGATTTGGCCAGGCGCACGTCGTAGGAGAGCGAGCCTCCCTAGACAACTTACTTTGGACCACCATTGATAGTTTTAAAATTTTGAGTATTCTACTTTGCCAAAAAGTACTGAAAACAGTCTTTGAATATGGTTAGTTCCGAAATGCGAAAATATTCCGCGTGTGACCATAATGGTCTTATAGTTGTCTTCGTGTAATAAGAAGGGGTTAGTCATGTCGTGGATATGTGTGTGAAATGTTAGGTATAGCCTCAAAGCAGTTCTATTCGTCATTTGTTATTGTGTAATACAGTTTTATCGGTTTGTGTTGGCAGCCAGGCTCTGGTCTACGTAGATACCATGTCACCAGAACACCCAGCTCACACTTTCAGATCCAAATGTTCGGCGATGGGAATTGCTGCAGAATGTTGGGTACCGAACTCAAGTGCTCTTTGTGGGAATGGGGTAGGGGGTGAACTCATAGTGCATCCGGAAGAGGTAGGGAAGGGTGAGGGAAAAGCGGGCGGGATCCCATTCAGTCATTCCTGGTCGTTGCCGTCTTGTTGGATTCTAGCGTGGCCTTTAGCCGGGATTATACGTATCCCGTCACCAACCTTTGCTATCAGCCCATTGATGGGGTTGAATTGGTGGTTAAGTGTTCTAGTCCTGTCAGAATAGAACCACTTGTTTGCCCTATTTGCTGTCAGTCATATCCAGTCAGGTTTATGTTGTATGCATGGTGTAGAATGAGATGGTTTTGAGTATGAATTCCCTGAATGTATGGACGCACACAACTAGATGTATGCGTACATGCACTCGAGAATTCATACACTCAGACAATACTACCTTTAATACTTATCTGTGTATGCATACCTTTTTGACATTCCGTACACCTGCATTCTCTTTTATATATGTCTACCAATGCCTATATAAATGCACTTACATTTATGAAAAACATGTACATCCATCCGTAAGGACAGTCACACTTCCATGTCTTGCGTATTACCTTTTGTGTCGCTATGTCTGTAATATCGGCTGGTCGTGCCGCTGTTTAAGTTATGTCCTGTTCCTGGTATGTGACCTGTTAATTACGTTCTTATCATGTTCTGTTGGATGTTGTGGACAGTGTGAGCTGATGAGGTTCTTGCTGGCGTACACACTTCATTCCATTTATTCTGATTAATTAACAAGTGTAATACAAAGCTTGCTTGTTAAATATAGATAGGACAACAAAATTAGACTGCGTTCATCTGCGGTGCTACCAATCACAATAAAGATACCTAAACAGATCAGGGTGTGGATAAAATAGTGCATTGGAAAGTAAGCACGTAATGTCGTCGACACTTAACACTCAGGAAGGAAAAACACAGTTATCAGGACATTTTTATTTTAAAACAAAAGGAGTCCACCAAACCTTCAAAAATGGACAATAAACAAGCACATATACAGTTGAACTGATTCACTTTGATATTCAATTTAAAAAAAAAAACAGATACAATCAGGCCCACACGTCTGCGGTGTGCTCTTGAATGTAAACAAAGTTCTTTAAAGAGAGAGAGAGAGAGAGAGAGAGAGAGAGAGAGAGAGAGAGAGAGAGAGAGAGAGAGAGAGAGAGAGAGACAGACAGACAGTGACAACTGTCAATTGCAACAGAGGGCACAGCAGGATTTTAAAAGCCCCAGAGTAGATTATAGAGTATTCACAACATTCAGCAATTCCCGCAATACCAACGGGTTTCAGTGATGTGTCCCATGGCCAGGTTTACATTCTCTGGCAGATCGCGTTTCCAACCCACAACACTATTACTTGCACAACTGTAATGATACTTGATGCAAGGGTGCTGGGACATAGAGAGCTGAGATTCTTCGTACGTCCCTCCAACCAAGAAATTGTTTGGCCTGCCTACCGATTGTCCAGGACTTAAGTCATATGTTAAGACTGGATGTATGAAGCAAGCAAGAATTCGTTTTCTAACTCTCAATGACAAGAATATATTGCACAAGATATTCTCAATTTTATCAAATGCAGTTTTTGCCTGACCTGTTCTGTTTCTTATCTCAGTTGTGCATCTTCCATTTGATGTTATCCCTGTGCCCAGATAATTAAATTTCTTTACTTGTCCTAAAATAATACCATCGACTTTTGTTACACATTTAGGAATAATTCGTTTCTTTGATACCACCATTACTTTTTTCTTCCCATTATTCAAACTGAGGCCCATTCTTCCACTTTCTAACACCACAATGTCTATCACTTCATGTACTTCTTTCTGACTTGTTGCTATCAAGACTGTGTCATCAGCATAAGGTAAATTGTTTATATTGTGTCCACCAAACACAATTCCCGACATATCAAATAAAGATCTCATTATATATTCACTGTATCTTGAAAACAAATAAGGTGATAGTACACATCCTTGTCGTACGCCCCTCTTTATGCTTTGAAATGTATCTAAACAGTTTTTAATTCTTACAGCTGCTGTTTCCTGCCAATACATAGTCTTTATTATTTGTAGATCTTTTCCATCAATGTTTAATTTTTTTCTAACAGTTTGATTATTTCTTCTTGCTTCGCACAGTCAAATGCTTTTGTATAGTCTATGAAGCATAAGTACAAATCAGTCTTTACTTCTATAGCTCTTTCTGACAATGTCCTTAAGATGTATATTGCATTCTACAAATCCTCATTGTTCATCGCTGATTTCCTATTTTAATTTTGTGACTCATAAGGCTTATTTTGCGATGGTCTTCACATTTTAAAGTGCCTGGTTTCTTTGGCAGAGTTATAAATATGGATTTTAAAAGGACATTTAGAATATACCCACTATTATAAATATCATTTAAAAGTTTAGTTATTATTTCAGTTCCAAAATCTCCTATTGCTTCGATTTCTTCTAGTGAGATGTTGTTTTGCCCGGGTGCTTTTCTTTTCTTCTATGATGTATTGCATCCTCAACTTCTGCAGTCATTATAGGTGGACTATCATTGTTGGTCTGCAGTTCTACATCTGGTCTATTATCATCATAAAATTCCCCTATATACTCTGTCCATCTGCTAATTAAATTACTATGTCCCATTAATAAGTCACCATCGTTTGATTTTAAACATCCAGTGCTGTTACGTGTCATCTTTCCTGTTAACATATTTATCTTTTAGTACATGGAATGTGAGTCTTTCCTGTGATTTTCCCAAATCTCCGTACATATTTGATTCAGCCAGGCTTTTTTAGACATTTTGCATTTGTTCACTATTTCTTTTTTGTATTCTAGAGTTTTCCTCTTTATCATTCTTGTTCTTTCTTCTTTCATTCATCAACTGCAAAACATCGGTTGACATCCATTTCTTTTTTTGCAACTCTATGAGTTGGTAGGATTGTCTCTTTTGATGTCTGCTGAAGCATATAGGGCTAGAACTATATGTTATTGACCAGTCGGAACTAGGTGGTTGATGTGAGGAGCACACCGCCAGCCGCCTTTACTTCCAAGGACTGTACTTAGTACACCCTCAAGGCTGGGCCGACATTGGAGCCGAAGTCGTAACCGAAAGAAAAAGTCCAGTTCCTCCGGCTCTGTCAGGAACCAAACCCACGACTTTTCGATCTACAGGCAAGAGTCTGCCAACAAACCACGGTGGTTTCCTCTTAAAAAGTAAAAATAATAAAGAGGAATATGTAGGTCAAATGTGGCGCGAGTGCATACTAAGCATCAGCAAGTGAACACTGCAGGCACTCACAAAGACATACTTTCTAGAACATGCAGCGATGCCAAGAATAGAACGACCAATAACAGGAACTTTGTGATGGAACCAAAGGGGTGCACTAAAGACTGTTTATAAACGACTGCTGAAGGAAGGTAAGACCTTTAAAGAAATAGCAATATTTAACTGTGTGTGAATTTTAGAATTAAGTGTGGATTTTGGAAGAATGGACGTATTAGCAAAGGACAACGACGTCTCAAAAGCCAATGTCCTACTAGAAACGTCAGTATCTAGGCAAAAAAAACATTTCATGAGAATGACGACATCAGTGTTAAACTAACTATACTGTGATCCTAAGTAACTATACAGACACATTTTTATGATGAAAATAAAAATTACTTTATCCTCTCATAGCGTATTATTATTATTAGTATGTACTTAGACACTGTGCTGACAAGTGCTGACAAGTTATCTCTTCTATTGAATATATATATATATATATATATATATATATATATATATATATATATATATATATATATATATATAATCTTTTAGAAAGTTTATTCTCTACAATAAATGCTGGTTGCATATTTTCTCAGACCGGTGGGCTATCATTTGATTTTTACCTTCCCTCTAGATTCGTATGCCATCAACATGTCTCATCCTTATCTGTCCGCACAGCAGGCAAGCTAAATTATATTTCCCACACCTTATAGGCATAGATTCCTATTCTCTTACGTTGACCACTTTCAGCTAGGTCAGATCACATTTCTGCTGTCTTTCCTGTCTGCTATATTTGTGGTGACGTTTCTCTCATTTGGTTTTGTTATAGACATAGAGAGGTATCTCGGAATTTGAAAATGGTCCGTTCCGAGACAGGACTGAAATTCCAAATCGTTCAAGTTCCAATTAT